ACCTCTTGGCCCCATAGCCAGGCACTGGAACCAGGCCAAGTCATGCTCCCTTTTCTTAGATAAGCATGTTGAGCCCTGATGGTGCCATATCCAGAGGCATGATGGTGGATCCAGGACTTGTTATCAGTTGTGCCCCAGCCCTTCCAGCCCTGTCTCATGGCTGCTGCTTGGGAAGCAAGGAGTACAGCCTTCACTGTTGCTTGGCACTATTGTCAGGGACCAGGAGTAGTGTCTTTTACCTGATCGGTGATTTGACATGGCTGCTTAACAACCCGATTAATCAAACCCAGCTCGTCCTGCTAGAATTAATGAGCCCAGGAAATGCTGCCATGAATAATGAGGGCTTTTGCCTCTCCCCTAGCACCTCTCCCCCGACACCCTTCTATTTCTTTCTCAGAGACACGCAGCAGCTACTCACTGCTGAGGGCCTTTAGGCCTTCGGGGGAGGGGTGAGTACCCAGTGAGGTGGGCATCTCCCGCCTTCTCTACTCTTCTTCCAGGAGCCACAGCTGCCCACCTGAGCAGGAGGCTGGCCAGGTTCTAAAGGCACAAAACCTCTTGTTCATCAAACAGATATGCATGCATTCCACTGCCAAAGCTGGGTGGAGTGTCTAACTGTTTCAGGTACTGTACTAGGTGCTAAAGATGCAAAGATGAATAAGATATTGTCCCTGTAAGGTGTCACAGTGCGGTGACGCAGGGACAAATGGGGGAAATGCTATAATGGGGGTACAGAAGGGCCTAGAGCCATCTTGAAGATGGCCTGTCAGTATTGGAGAAGCAGAGTGGGTCCTTTGCCTCCTTGCTTCCAATTCCCCCAGACTGGGCTTCCCAGCCACTCCCAACAAGGCCCAAGGCTGCCAGGTGGGACCTGGGCTCAACCTCCTAGGTCCCTGGAGTCAGGCCTGCCCCCACCTGCCATTTTTTTTGTCACTCTGGGACCCAGGTGGAGAGGCTTCACAGAGAACACCTGGGTCTCTATGTGCTGGCCTGCAGAAGAGTGCAAAGGCTCAAGATCAGAGCTCTAAACTTGGGCAAAATGACCTTCACACTGTACTTTTAAACTGCACGAGCTGTTAACATTGCATGAGCTGTTAACATTGGATTTGGAGCGTTTACATCAAAACTGCCTCCCAGATTCCCACATGTACAGCTGGTTGGAGCTGATGGTAGCTGTCCCTTTAACCTGAGTTTGGCACCTCCAATTTGCCCCATTCCCCACCATGTGATTTCTGTCACTTATGTTGCCTGTCTGAACCTGAGAGCATTTGAGTCAGAGACTTCCAGCTAAGTCTTTAAAGAGAAACCAGTAAGACGCTGGTTTGGATGGCAGAGGGCGTCTGCAGAAAGGGATCCACTCATTTTCACAGAAACCCTAGACTTGGGCAGCACCAAGTGGGACCTGGGGCTCAGAACTAGTAGTTGAGTACATTGAAGTTGTTTGGCTCCCACAGTAAGGGTGGGGTCTGGTGCCTCTCAACAAAGCCTGTGGCCTAGTTTGAGCTGTGTGGTCTGACCCACCCAGCCACCTGACTGCCTGCTAGACTCTGGGCTTCACCACCCTCTGCCTCTCTCCCTGCAGGGGGAGCTGCTGAGCCCTTGCCGCTGTGATGGCTCGGTCAAGTGCACGCACCAGCCTTGCCTCATCAAGTGGATCAGTGAGCGGGGCTGCTGGAGCTGTGAGCTGTGCTACTACAAGTACCACGTCATTGCCATAAGCACAAAGAATCCTCTGCAGGTACAGCTGGGGGGGCTGCATGCTGGCTGGGGGCACGCGGGCCGCTGGGAATGCTGGGGGCACTTGGGCTTGGGTACTCCCACACCCCGCTCTTTCCTGCTGGAAGATGATTTCACCTAAGAGTCAGGGCAGTTTGGAGAAAAGGAATGGGAGGGGCTAGGTGGGCAAGACCTTGGCATGAAGGCAGGAGGAAATGAGATAACTTTTGTGTTTTCTCTTAAGTCTCAGCAAGAAGAGGAGGAAGGGGGTGGGGCAAAGCGAGAGAGAAATAAATATAGATGTACAATGAGTCAGATGGAAGAGAGAATGAAAGAGTTAATGATGGATAGCTGGATTGATGGATGGAAGGAAGGAAGCAGAAAGGAAAGGACAGGAAGAGGAAAAAAGGAAAAAGAAGGGAAGGAAGGAAAGAAAAAAAGAAAAACCAGAGGTCCGAAGAGAGCAGAATGGTAAAAAGACAGAGGGTGGGAGGAGTGAGGAGAAAGACTGAGATAAAGCGAAGGCTGGGGAAAGAAAAAGTAAGGAGTGCGGAGAGTCAGTGACACGTCCCACAATTTAAAGTGCAGGCAGTGCATCTAGAATCTTGTCAAGATGGAGACGTTGATTCAGGAGTCTGGGAGGAGGCCTGAGAGTCTGCATTTCTAACTAGCTATCAGGTGATATGGATGTTGCTGGTCCGCAGACTGCACTTCTTATGATAGGGATCAGAAAACAAAAGAAGAAGAGACAGGAGACAGAGGCAGAAGAAAAGAGGAGAATGGGCAATAAGGAGGAAAAGAGGAGACACCATGAAGAAGCTACTGTAAAGGGCAAGGGCGGGGAGGGCCAGGGCTGGGGGTGGGGTCTCCCAGGCAGATTCAGACGGAGCTAGACCTGTTAGAACTGAGGGATCTCCCCTCCCCCCTCCCGCTCTGCTCTGACACATCCATCATCCCAGAGGAGCTGGCAGGCCCTGCATCACCTCATAAATCCTCCAAGCTCAATCCTCCCAAGCTTTCCCTGGGAAGCACATACACACATAGAGAGAGTGCTTAGCTTTTGAAAATACCTCCATGTATGCATGGTCAGTCAATTAAGTTGCCACATAATCAATTAGCCAGCAGGCTAGTGAGGATGGGAGTCTCAGTGGCCTACACAATTGTTTCAGTCCTCCTCCCTGAGGGAAAGGGGGAGAGTCGATCCTGCGAGGCCAGGAGGGCCGTGGTCTGGTGGTGATGGTCTCTGCATGGAGGGGCAGCTGAAACCTGGAGCTGCAGTGTCTAGGGTGCTTTATTTTAGACACCATGCAATTTTACATGGGGAGCTGCCAGGTATGAGTGGGGGGGGGGCGCGGGGGGCACAGTACCTACATGTGGACCAGGGCGGTATATTTTTCTGGAAGGAGGCATTAAAACCCCCGGGCGCCTCAGTCATCCTGATGGTGTACCAAGGGGTCAGAACAAGAGGCACCTCTCCCTGCGCTGGCTCCATCTTTAATCATTCATTTCAAATTTTCTAGTGTCTTAAAATAGCAGTGTCGTGAGACAGCTGATTCCACGCTCTGGGTACATTAACTCTCTCCTTCTTTCTCGGCTGATTCAAGACTTGGAGAAGGGTCCGAGTCTATGCAAGCCCCATCCCAAAGTGCCCCCTTGGCTCATAAACAGGCATAAGCCTTTGACTTGTAAAATAAAAAAACATTTAGTGATAACTTTTTCCTGGGATTAAAAGAAATGTTACTCTAATCTCATAAGTACAGTAAGGAAATAGCAGTATTGACAAAATTGTTCTATGAATTTATTATTAACTTACTACCATGATTCTGTTGCTCCTGGAAATGCAATGGTGTATGCTCATTCAACACCATTTCACTCTCCAGATAGCACCAGAAGAAGGAAGTAGCTTGGACTAGCAGCAATACTGTGTAGTTGTCGCCCACATTGTCCCAATTGTGTGTCCGGGCCCGGCCAAATGTGAGACGGCTGCTTGCTCGGCCACAGTGGGGCAGCTCTACTCCGCAGTCAGCCTGACTGTCCGCAGGACAGGATAGAGCAGGCGGCCCCGCAGCAAGTGAGCGGAGCGATGGATGGGGGCGGAGCTACCTCTCGGCTTGGGGTGGGAAAGTTTCTTCCAGGGCTCGGGTCTCTCACCTCTTGGTTCATGCCCCAGACAGAGTTGTGAGAAACAATGGTCACCACAGCACATTAGCTCAGGGACCTCTCTGCAAGCTCTGGTTCTAGCAGAAGAACCACTGAGAAAGGAAGAATTTCAGGCCCTGTGATCTCAAGGCTCCGTGGCTGCTTCTTACCCTCCTACTATACCTGAACTGGAATTATATTAATAAGTGTTTAGTTGGTGCTTATTAGGAACCAGTAAGTATTCTAAATATTCACATATATTATCTCATTTAACATCGAAAACAACCCAGTGCAGTGGGTACTGTTTTATTCCCAATTTACGGATGAGACGATGAAGGCACAGAGAGGTCAGCAACTTGCCCAAGGTTACCCTGGAGGAGCAGTGTTGCATCCCAGGGGTCTACTCCTAAGTCTGGCCCTTAATCTCTACCTCATAGTGCCTGGCACAGAATTTGTTGAGTACGCTTAGGAAGCCCCCACCCCAACATGCATAATAACTGTATTTCTGCTAAAACATAATGTAGAATAGGAATGATGGCGGTCCATACCCTTCAGAGCACTGATTAAAGAGTTATTTTATTTAACCCCACAACACTAGAGGAAGTGGGAAAGACTAATAATTTCCATTTCTATAAAAAGGAAACTTGATAGTCTTTATGATGCATTGACTTTGCCCAGGTCACGATCCAAAAGTTGGAGCAGACCTTGGGTAGAGCTGGGTCCCCTGGCCCCATGCTCAGTGCCCCTTGCTGTTCTAAGGGAGGAAGCAGCTAGGCTTGTGCTGTTCCTCCTTTGTCTCTGCAGTCACTGGTGCTACAGACAGGTCAGGGCATGGAGAAGTTTCATGATACTGCAATCAGAATCTCACTTGGAAAGAAGCTCCAGGTGTCTGATAGTGGCAGAGCCTGGCACCTCTGGAGCCCTTCTGCCCTTCCCAGCCTCTTTTTGAGATGTCAGTATTGTTCTCTGTTTTCTCCTTGCAGTTCTGTTCCTGACACCTCTCATGGAGCCTCACAGGGGACAGATAGGACAGCCTTGTCCATAGCACGCCCACCTCACTCCTTCTTCAGGCTTCAAATTGTAGTTGGGGCTCTGTTTAGTTTCCACAGGTGGCTTAGGGGGTGGTAAGAAGGGGCTTTAGGGATTAAGAAGACCTTTCTGTGCCTCTCTACTTGGGATTTTTAAAGTCTGGAGGAGGACATGAGAGTTATTGATGACTCAATGGTAGAAACAAAAACCTCAGTCAGGAGCCTTTTTCACAGACAATGGGGCAGGCTCTGGAAAAAGCGTTTGTTGTATATGAGCAAAGTCTGTAGGATCCAGCTCTCTTCTGGAAAATTCCCTTGTTATGTGTAACCCTAGGCTGGGGGAAGCAGTGGAAAATTTAAATGCCCAATTACCTGTAAGGGGATGCTATCTGTATAATTAAATGTAAAGGCTGATGTCCTACATCTAGACTAGCAAGTGAAATGTTTTCCAATGGTTACAATTCCTCAGGGGCCATTGGTCAGACCAGCTGGAGCCAGAATCAGTGCTCTCATCCAGGCCAATTAACACATAGTGAGGGCTCACTGTTGGCAGATGGAAGGTAGTCTGCCTTTCCTCCACTTATGGCTGATGGCCTTCTGGGGGTGTTCTCTGTAAGGTGTTATGCAAATTCCTACGTTCAGGAGAGTGTCCTTCCCTCCACCTTCCCAAATCTGATCCTGGTAAAACTGTTCACCTTCCCTGATTAAAAGTGTTCAATACCATCACGTTAACTCTTAGGACAAAGTAAAAAATCTGTGTTTATTCTTCAAGATTCCACATGGTCTGCCCTTCTTACATTCCCGGCTGTCTCATCCCACACTCCTTTTTGCTCTTTCTGCTCTACCCACTCTAGTCTTCTTCCAGGTTTTCATACTCGCTGTGCTTTCTTCTGCCACAGGGCCTTTGCACATGCTCTTTCCTCTTGCTGGAGCACTCCTTCCTCCTCTCTTTGCCTAGTAAACTCACTCAACTCAGGCATCGCTTCTTCTAGGAGGTCAAATCTCCCTACCAGAGGCTTTCACAGTGCCATGTACCTCCCTTTCTTACTCCTGATGAATTGCAGTTGTAAAGAATTATTCGGTTGTCTGTGTTTCTTAGATTGTAAGCTCCATGAGAGCAGAAATCTTGTATGTTTTTGCTTACTACTTCATTGTCGGCACCTAGCCGAGTGGCTGGCTCCTGGAGAATACTCAGCACATATATGTTGAGTGATAACATGAATCAATCCCAAACTAAAATCCAACTCCAGGCTCATTTAAGCCTCTGCTACCTAGACCAGCCACAGAATAGTAGAATATCAGAGTTGAAACTCGCCCACACCTTAACCTTCAACCCATCCATCATTACTGCTATTAGTATAATATTTTTTTCTGTTAAAAAAATGAAATCTCGGTATTCATATATAGTCAGTAAATTATACTGTTCTTATTTCTCCCCCACATCCTGTGTTTTCTCCTTGCCTGCTGAATTGGCGATCTCTAGCATGTATATTAAATGGCATGCCAGGTGTTGTAGAAAACAAGTACAAAAAAAAAAGGCCTCTGCCCTCTCACCACCCATTAGCGTGAAAATAAACAGTGTTGCTCTGAAAAGAATATTCTGGGCCCTGGAACGCCACCCACACTAGCTCTGCATTTTCACTTCTTTCTCCTCATTTCTCTGTCCGTATCATAACGGACCATAAAGGCCTTCCTTCCCGGCCCTGCCCACCCAGAATCCCCTCCTTACAATGACTTTTGATCATTTGGCGTGATATAGATTTCCTCCATATCAAAAGTACAATGTAAAACACAGAAATTTGCAAACACATCCATTGTATTACTGGTTGGAAAGCCCTGGTCTAAATCCTAAACCAGAGGTGAAAGGTTGGGGGCAACAGAAGGAAGAGGGTTGGGAATGGCCTGGAAACGAGGCGAGGGCATCTGAGCAACAGCTAACCTACTGTTCTCTTCTCTGCAGTGGCAGGCCATCTCTCTGACAGTCATTGAGAAGGTTCAGATTGCGGCTGCCATCCTGGGTTCCCTCTTCCTCATCGCCAGCATCTCTTGGCTCATCTGGTCGACCTTCAGTCCCTCGGCAAAATGGCAGCGCCAAGACCTCCTCTTCCAGATCTGCTATGGGATGTATGGATTCATGGATGTGGTGTGCATAGGTGGGTCTCGGGGCTTGTTTCTATGGGAAGTGGGGAGCCACATGCAGGTGAGTTAGACAAATCCCTCAGGATCCCATCTTCTAGAAGATCAAAGCAGAGAAGGCACCGACCTTGAAACCTGTGAGATCAGGAGGGGCCAGTGCCTTAGTTTTGAGGGGTGAGTAAGGAGGAAGGGGGAGCAGGGAAAAGAAGGAAGATCTAATTCATTCCTAAGCAAATCTGCCTCGCCTGGTTGAAAATAAGCATAAGGAGGCTTGCCACTAAGAAGATCTGAAAAAAGGTCAGTTGGTCAGTCTATCTGCCTCAAGCAGGAGGTGGAGAGCTTCTCTGCTGTGTACCGTGGCTGCCAAGCCAACAAGGGATGTCTGGACACTTAGTTCCATTCTCTTCACGGCAAAATGCCCAGAAACAGCATTGATGTTGCCTGCCCCCCAACCCCCTCCTTTTTTTCAGCTTTCCATAAGCCAGTTCCAATGCCCAAGATTTCTCTAGTCTAATGGTTTTCAAACTGTTTGTGGCCCCAGGGTTCCACACATGGCTTCAGGACCCACCTTCCTGAGGCAGGGAGGGGATGCTGCCCAGACAGGCTCTGCCTCTTCACCCCTGCTTCTCCTGAGCTTCTGTACTTTTATCTCTTTACATATATTTCCATTCTAGGTAAGATTCTGTTTAAAAGGCGTCAGTGTTTTAGGAAAAAGTTGGAAACCCGTCATTTGAGTTCTTCCGTATCTCATTCCAAAACCTCTGCTCCCCTCTCTTCCATCATGTTAGGTTGGTTGGTGGAGGGCTGGGTCTTTTTGTTTTTCCCAAGAAATGATTTGTTTTTCCCAAGTAACCGAGGAGGTGGGGAATGGTCCTGGCTTTCTCTGAGTGACATGAAGCATGCTTAAGCACTGGTTGCACATCCTACCGGAAACTGTCAGATGACTCCCCGCCATCCCGAGCCATAGTGCTGACGGCATTAGTGTTCCACAGTTGTCCTGTTCGGGCATTTGTTTGTGTATTATATCAAATATGCTATACGACTCCATTTGGCAGGAAAACCTCTATTAGCTAGAATTTGATTGGCATGATATTAACGTGCGTTTCTCTGAGATCCTTTAATATTAGAATCAGAGATGCTGTAGATTTGCATACAGATTACAGTAGCCAGAGACCAGTGATAGTGGGACTTGTATGCTTGTCTGCATCTTGCTGCCTCTCCATGCTAGCTAAACCAATACATCAACCCCCAGTTTAAGAGACTTTTAATGATGGCACGTAGGCGCTGAAAGAAAGACCGCCCAGGTGTGGAGGGCTGTGGAAGAGAGAGGACTGTTAATGGGAGGAATTTGACTTTGAGGCATTCTAATTTAGCTCCCTCTCCCACAAAACTCGGTTCCTACTCCTGCTGAGGCTTGAGTTGTTGATGCCAGAAACCAGGTGTGTCTCCATATGGAGGCATAGGGCTCTGGCATGGAAGGGGAAGCAGTGAAGGGCCTTCCTGTAGGGGCCCCTCCAGCTGCCCTTCATTCTCCTTCAGGCAAGCTTTTGATCTGTCCCTGATGTGAGCTCCTACGAGACATGCTTTCCTGTCACATGGTGTATTACTCAGCGTGGGCTGCAGTAACAGTAACAAACAACTCCAAAATTGCAGGGCCTTATAACAACAAGCATTTATTTCCCATTCAATGGTCTGTGAGATGGCTGTGGCTCTGCTGGGCTTGGCCGGGCTTAGCTTCTGACTGTGCACTGGGTTTGGGCCTGCTGAGTGTCTCTTGGTGCTCTAACCCAGGCTAAGGAAGCAGAGACCATGAGAGTATATTCTTCTCCTAGCCAAGTGCAGGAGCACAAGAGGGCTGATTAAAGCTTGCAAGGCTTCTCAAAGCTTCTGCTCAGGACAGGCACACTGCTCCTTCTGCCCATAGGCGTTGGCCAATGCGAGTCACCAACATCGAAGCCCCACGTCAAAGAGGTGGTGGGCAGGGAAGTATACTCCTCCTCTCCTGGTGGGAACATGGGTGAGAGAGAAGCATAAATACCATCTACCATTCAGGGCTCCATAGATTTGAAGACTGAGAGAACTGAACATAGAAGAAATCATACAGTCGATCAGTACAGCTTCCTTGTTTTGCAGTTGGGAGAACTGGGTCCCAGAACAGGGAAGTAATCTGCTCAAGGATTGCTCAGCTGGGATTAGAAGCAAGTCCTCGTTCCATCGGTCAAGTGCTCTTTCCATTAGCCCTCTTGCATCAGCTAGCAGAAGTCCCGCAGTGTCACTTATGGGATACCTACAGATGCCATCTGTGACTGGTACACCTGGGCCCACTTATAGGAGGGGCCCCCACAAACATGCCTAACCCCTGTGGGTCTCAGCACCTAGCACCCCTGCTCCGGCCCGCCTGGTGCTCTGGCATCTCCTGCTCATAGTGTCTCCTCCTGAGTAGGGCTCCAAGGCACCGTCTACTCCTTTGTATCTTTCTTTGCTCCTCTTTCTCTGCCCGCTTCCCCTGTGGCTCACTTCTATCTCTCTAATCCTTTCTCTTCTTACATACATGTGGCACGCAGCCACTCAGTTTCTGGGACAAAGAGAGTGAGCTAAAGATTGAGAGTTTTCACACTGTTTTCCTTACTTCTAAGCTCTTACGAAAACAATTTCCCAGATGCACAACTACACCCTAATTTACCCATTCTGCTCTGACAAGCCAGCGACTTCTTGGAGACAGCCATTGGATGGGAGAGGAATGCATAAAGACCCTGACTGCTCTTTGGTGCCATCCAACAATGGTCAGATACAATGATATTTAGACTATCTAATCTTTAAAGAGTTTAGATAACTCTATATCGTTGATTGTAAATGAAGCTAATTCAGTTCCAGAGCATGCCCCCGGGGTCAAGGAATAGTCTTCCCATTTTTCAGATGGTAAAACTCTGAGACTGAAGGATCTGTCTTAGGCTGACTCAGGCAGCAGAGTAGAGCTCCCAGTTCAGTCTTTTCCCAGGAGAGGCTGTGCGGTGGCGAAAATGCTGGGAGACAAAATTTTAAAAGGAGCGACCAGGGGTCAAGAGAAGGGAGAGGGAGGTTGCGGGCAGTTGTTGGGATGCACAAGCAGATTCTTGTGGTAGATGTGATAATGGTGATTTTGATGATGGTGATGATGCTCAGTAGTGATGATAGTGGTTTTCAGGGTGAAGTTCAAGGATACGTCACTTCTTCACTGCAGTGTTCTGCCTAGTTGAGAGAAAACACACACTGCACAAGTGGTTGTAAAGTATCAGCTCTTGAGGGGCTCTGTGGAAGGGAGAAGCAGGTGCCACCTGCAATGTCTACCTGGGATGTCTTTATTTTTAGGCTCGACTAGACATTCAGATTCTCAGAACTACCAGAGGGCACACTTGGTACCAGATTCACTTAGAAGGATGTAGGGCAGGAACCGCATCCTCCACCAGGCAGATCTGGCTTAGCTGTGCAGATGAGTCCTTGCCACACTCCATATTCTAGTCCAAGGCTAGTCTCCTGGCCCCCAAATGATAGCTCATAAGGAAGGGGATGAGACTCACAACAGTGAGTGTAGAGTTCACCTTGGCATAGTTTCCAGGGTCCCAGCAAAAGTCTCTGATTCCCTTTCCTTATCTGTGAAATAGGATAATAACACCATCTTCAGAGCGTTATTGAGAGGACTGAATATGATGGCATATATAAAGGAGCAGGCGGTCATAAATATCAGTGACCAGGCTAGGAGGCACTTGATCAGGGTAGATTCTGCTTGTAGTAGACCCTCCATGAAGGTTTGCTAGGGCTGTTAAAACCTGAATCCAGTCACAGCCTGGAGACCCTGACCCTGCGTCCTCACATAATTGAGAGTCTGCTGTTATCTGGAACAGCGCTTCTTCTTGAAGCTTTTGGGTCCCCTCGTTCGTGTCCCCTCAATGAGAAGATCTGATTACATCGAATGTCCTCGTTCCACCTGCCTCCTCTTCCGTCATCTCTAATGACGTTGTCTGCCCCAGCAGAGAAACTGACCGAGCCTCACGGAAAACAAATGGGACATTCTCTGCTCCAGTAGGTCAAATTATTAGAATTTAACAAGAGCAAATTAATTAAGGTCTTTGGCACCAAAAACATTTCTTTTTTCACTCCACAGAACCACGGGATTGGCCACCAAAAAGTCAACTCTGCAAAAATGAGGACCTCATCCTTATCTTGTTTGTTTTTTACTTGTGAGAGCAGTGGGCCAAGGGAAGGAAAGGGAGCAACATTTCTGAGATTGTTCCAAATCTTTAAAATACTCAAATATGGTAATTAACAAGATTATAGAAATTCTTTTTGTTTAAGCTTCCTCTGTGTGCTGTCCATTTAGGTTCTTTCCTAGGATTTAGAGATACCTGGTATCTGTCCTCCGAGATAAGGGGATTCAAATCCTGATTTAGAGCAAGTAGGAAGGAGGTAGGGGCAAGCAGCACTGTAAAAACGTTATTTTTGAAATGTGGTTTTAATTCGCGTTAACTATAAAACACACGCACCACAAAGATTCCTTCCTTTTTTCTCTCCTTTGGGCTAGAAATGACTCTGCCTGTCAGACCTCTTAATTCTTGATTAGGAAACCGAAGATTTGGAGGAGGCAGCCTGGTGCAGCAGAAGAGACTAGGAGGGAGACAATCTAGGTCTGAAAACCAGATTAGCTACCAGCTGCCTCTCTGTCTGACCTCGGGCAAGCTACTTCTCTTTCTACTACTCAGTTCACTCATCTGTAAAATGAGAGCGTTGAACCTGATAACTTCCGAGGTCCTCTAGGTCTGACATTCGAAGGTTCTGAAGTTATTTCCGTTGTGAGAAGATACCATAGCTCTCAGGGGTTGGCGACGGTGTCTGTGGGGGATTCTCAGTAGTGTCGGCCCAGGCCAAACAACTGATGAACATCAATTGTGTAAATGAGCGAGTGATGCTCAGTCCATGTTCCCTCATCTGCGTGTGACTTACCCGATTACTTACCTGGATTAACTGGTAACTCATACCCCAT